GGCATATTCGTATCAGGGTAGCTCTTAATGATTCAGGAGCCGATCTATACTTATCTTCATATTTTGTAGAATCAGTGATTTTGTATCGATCGAGCGTTGATCAGTGTTTAAAAAAAAGGAACTACGGTATACCACCAACTTATTCTGAAGCATCCAGCTATAATTGATGGGGAACCAATAAAATCAGCTTTTTTGGCCAAGCTGCCAGAATTTGGTTGCAACATATGGCTATTGCGCGGTCTACCTCATTGTTGTTCTCCTCGTTCCCATGAAGTTCACCACCACTGTATGTAAAGAAATATAGAATGGTGGGAAACTCTCACAAGACTGGCAAGATTCCAAATTCTGCTACAAAGACCTTTTTTACAGGCTGATATGCGGAAGAAAATGCAAAGAAGTTGCAGCATCTTGTATTTCAATTTTTAGAATATGCACGGTCATGGGTACCTCCGGTTTTCTCCGTTGCTGTTTGGAACAACTTTGTTTGGGTAGCAAATAACTATTGTGGATCCTGATGATGTTGTGTAATTGCACAGCAACATACAATTACGACGGAATCCGGAACCAAGATGGCGCAGGAACGCGCGTTTAGGTAAATGGCTACCTTCCTTTGCAAGTAAGCCTCCATGAAAGTGTGTAGAAAAAAAAACTAGAAAACATCCAAAAAGCACTCAGAAGATACAGTAACTGCGAAATTCTACTTACGCGCAGCTGTATGCGTGATGGTGCAATTGCACACATTATTCTGTAAATCACATGAGGGGCAGGTTCCTAGCCAGGATGTTGTAAAATAATGTGAATCATTACCATTCACTATCTGGCACAATGCCAAAATAGAAGGCTTGTTTCTGCACACGTCACATCAAAGATATATGATGTTGCATGCATCGTGTCATTGAGGAACATGTACCGGATAATGCGATGACGGCCTGAGACGAACACCGTACGAGAGAACAACGGGTCGTTACCGTAAATGGCGCGCCGTGCGCGCAATCGCCTCGCAAAAGCGTGTAACGTTGACGACTTTGATATGTAGATTCAGATGGGGCTACCTGTTGCGTGCGATTCACTCAGAAGGGGTATAAGCGTGGTCATTAGATATATGGATATAGATACGCTTTCATGGATACTTCGGTAACGAGGCGGTTTTCTTCGGGAGCGAGAGGGGGGGGGGGGGCGGGGAGTACAGAGTTTTTTCGAATGAAGGCGCTCTCCTGGTTTTTCTTCGAAATACTGCCCCACTTCCCTCCTGCGAACAACTGCATCGACTGCAGTAAAAATCAACTCTTCACTATCTGCATACATGCGCTCCAACGACGATAGATGCTCGATCGCTGCATTCGCGTCCGCTTCACGACTATAAACGTCAACCCTTGTCTGAGACTAGCCTTTACCCACGAATGTCTGATATACACGCATTTATGTTCAGTCGAGGACTTTGTGGTTGAAAGAAAGAGCAACTCAATCCTAAAATGGCCTCAAAGCTCGAGTTCTGCGCTCCACAGGTAATTCTCACGCGCAGTGGTCAAGTCGCAAATACACTATACCAATATCGTAAGCACACTACAGGTTCCAGTTCTCGCAACCGTTTTTTCGCCAGCTAGAGTTTCAGTGCTTTTTGGTTTAACGAGAATGGGGGTTGGAAGACGACCGCTCTCATCCGTGACGCAGTCTGCGTTTCTCTCGCGAACGTGTCTCTGATCACTTCCTAGCCTCGACTCGAAGCCCCGCCTCCCAATTGCTAATAGTTTGACTCAAAAGGTAAGTGGCTTGAGTCTAAGGCCCGTATGCACGTACGTCCCCGCTGGGAAGGGGAGGGGAGCTGGATCCCCAGGGGAACGATCCCCTCCGCCGAACCCCGCCATGACAGAGGGGAGGGGAGCGATCCCCTCCCCTGCACCTAAGCGGGGATGGTGTGAATGGTTTCAGAGGTATTGATCGAGCGAACCCCGTATGCGCGAATTCAACTCAACAACGCGGGGGAGGGGATCGACATCCCCTACAACGGAGTAGGGGTTCGATGGTGTAGATCAATCCAGAGAAGCAAGTATTCTAATTTCAATCAATTATTACAAGGCATTTCGTTCAGATTGATGAAAGATTTTCTACGGGAGCCGGGTTCCTCTCTCAGCGACCTGTAGCTTGCAGTTTTAACTCTCTTTTCCATGTTCGCTTCTTGTAAAGAAACCCGGACATATATCTGCCAGTTTCGAATATCTGTAGAAGTTTGAGACCATTCACGAGAGTTGCGCGTTTTCTATTTGACATAATAGTTTTATCCATAAAGGCTGGTACAACGTATTGTAACTATCACATTATATGATAAACTGTCTTTATCTTGTTATTCTAACGTAAAATTGCTTTGAATGAAATGAAAATCAGCAGACTCGCGTGTTTCTGAGTAGAGATCCTCGGGGGAGTGATCCCCTTCGCAGCGTTCCGCTTGTGCATAGCAAGGATGGCCGCTGGGGATCATTCCCCTGGGATAAAGGACGATATGCAGCAGATAGCTACAGCGTTTATGGAGAGCTGGCACGATTTGCAGCTTCTGTTATGTGTTAAAATACTGCTTTGAGCGTCCGCGCGGCACCCCCCCCCCCCCTTTTTTCGGCAGCATGACAGCTCCTATCCATTCCCCTGCAGAGACACCTCAACTTCTATAGTTCAACATTTTACGCAGAAATGGGGCAGCATGAGCGAAAGTGGGCAGCATCCAAGAAAGCAGGAACATAATGGGAGTAGAAAAAATCATTTTTGATGCCCCGAACGCAGTCACTACATACGCGCATTCCGCAACCCTAAATCATCGAAATTGAGGAGATGAAGATGAGTTGCAGTCAAAATATGAAATAAGAAGGAGTTTTTCATAGAAAGTTTGAAAGCAAGGTGATCTCCCCGCTTGATCCCCTCTTGCGCATAAGGGGGTTCACTTCCCCTCCCCACAGGGGATCCCTTGTCCGATATTGTCTTTGTGCATACGGGGGTTCGCGGGGGGAGGGGAGGGGATCCCCAGCGGGGATCATTTCAATGGTAAAACGCACATCCCCTCCCCGCGGGGATGTACGTGCATACGGGCCTAAATCGAATGATTCAAGAATGGGACTCGATAAACAGCTAAAAGAGATGAGATGGAGAAGTATTCTTATCACTTAAAGGCACTGTCTCAGCAGAATTTCGTCTTCCAGTTTTCATTCGGAGCGTTTTCGCCATGAGGATCCATATCTGGGCCTTTCAGCGCATAAAAATGTCGAAACATGAACTTCTTCCGAAACTTTCCAGGTCCGCAATCAGTGGAGAATACGTGTAAGTGGGCGGGACTGGAACCAGAGAGGCGCGATGCGAAAAACTTCCGGCGTATCTTCACTGAATGCGGACCTGGAAAGCTTTGGAAAAAGCTCGTTTCCGTAATTTTCATGCGGTGAAAAGCTCAGATATGGATTTCTCATGGCGAGAAGGCTCCGAAAAGGTGAAAAAATGGAAAACGAGATTCTGCCCGTTTGCCAATCGTTTGCCCGGACACTGCTTTCAAAGGCAGTATCCGGGCAAACAATTTTTAGAAAATCCACTTACTGGGGGTTATCCGTATCGCTGAATCCAAAAATCCACATTAGAAGGCCCGAAAACGGCGAGAACATGCGTTTTCCGAAGCCTTACAATTCGAAATTCGACGGTCCCCGCCAAACCAGGGACGCAGAGTCGCTGCCGTACCCTACAATTTTAACTGTAGCGGCATGCGTACTCTGCCGCATAGCCGAAACTCGAACAGGTCGAAGGACCCCGCCCGAGGCGTAAGTTCCCCACTTTCCGATCCTTTTTCTTGCTTTAGGTCGAACATTATAACCTCACACTTGCGCGATGCTCTAAGGGAGACCACTTTCGCATGGCACTGAGGTCCCAAAACCCCCATTTTGTCCGGACCTCCCTTTAAAGCACAACTCACCGAAATTCTACAATCTAGCACCATGTCTTTCAGTTCAATGAGACTTTGTGGTAAACATGTTTGAAGAGACTTTATTTCCGTTGCACAAACGCTACAGTACCAGCGAAAGTGTAAACGCCACTGTTTACTGTTGTGCAGCCGAGGCAGCTCCTTTTTGGGACTGCACACTCTTCAGTGCTGACGAGAAAAGGAGATTGGTGGTGAGTATGAGAATGACTTTGTAGCAGAGGAAAGTATAGCAGTGATTGGGCTCTGAGCTGATCTATAATAATTTCTTGTGTGCCATGAGAGGAGTGAGGAGTAGAGATTTTTGGAAGCACCGTTCACCCAGATTCTCGATTTCCATTTTTGTCTTCCAGGGTCTTCTCGCGTCCCTGATTCCGAATACGAAGTCGAGAATCTGCGAAACCCCGACAATCCCTATTCCAGAACGGCTATTGGATGGGCGAGCACGAATGGGCAGGCATTACTGGAGAGGTGTTGTCGCCTAGGAGTCCTCTGATCTTATCGTTGTTCCGGAGCGATTTCCTCACTTCAAGAGACATGCGCCGCGATCTGGGATTGCCTTAATAGGGGGCTCTACTATCGTATGCTGCCAAAAGCTCAAGACCTCTGATTTAGGGTCGATGGTGCCCTCAGTATAGTTCGAATAGGCTCAAACTCCACCACTGAAAGATCTGTTTAGAGAGAGAATCCGAAAAATCAAAATTTTGTTTTTATTATTCAATTTTGTCGCGTTTGCTTGTATTCGAAGTTTGTTTGTTGGTTAATCGTGACTAGCTTTGTACATCTTGACACGAAAGCATACCATCGGAAACCAGATAGATTTTGCACCACCCATATACTTATTCGCTTATGTTAGGCTGCATCCAGAGTTGCCTGTACACGGCCATTCCAGCCCGTGCCATTTGCTGGACTATGTGGACATATACTGATCGATCGACACCACGGAATGCGCTGGCACGGCGCCGGCCCATGGGCAACTCGAACGCTGCCTTTGGCAACGATTGATACATCTAGCAAGATGATAAAAGTAAGATTTCAGCACTAGATCGCATGAGACTGTGGAGCAGATTTATCTCAACAATTAACAAGTAACAAACTGTTATAGACACCCGTCTTGAAGAGTAGAGACGCTCACTGGATGAGACATATAGACTACACATAAACATTTCAACAACTTATACATGGGAAAGTACCTGGGTTGAGCATATATCGACAACTGTAAGGGGAAAAGGAAGGGTGATAGCATTATAAGGACTAAGAAGACAATGCTAAGTTGCTCACTGCATAGGCAAAAGAACCAACGAGTTAACGACCTATACCTATGGTAATCTACATATCCTACTTTTCAAAATCCTATGGCAGTATTGAGAGAAAAAAAAGAGATCGAGTAGCTTTACAAGGCAAGTTGACCCTGTTGCATATGCACTTCTAAAAGCTTCCATGCAACGGCTGGATTATATTCTTCCATATCTCTGCACATTACCCATACATGATGTACCCGTACAGGAGTATTCTGCAAGAGAGGAAAAAAAACATGATCAATGAAAGCGATAGGAGTATGTTAGAAAACAGGAATAAGCAGAAAAGGCACTGACCGGGTCACCTTCCACAACTTTACCGTCAGCGTTCTTCACAACGTTGATCATATACGCTTGGAATGTGATTATTAGAACGGGACCTTGTTCCATCATTTTTCCAGAGACCATCTACAACAATTACAATGTCTAGTGAAGGTATTGATGCATGGCATATGAGTTCGTAACCACGCAAGGCGGATATGGTCTTTAGAAATTCAAGTATTGGATACGGTGGCGAAAATGCTCAAACAGAGAAATTCAAGTATTGAATACGGTGGCGAAAATGCTCAAACAGAGAAATCCAAGTATTGAATACGGTGGCGAAAATGCCTAGACAGAGAAATCCAAGTATTGAATACGGTGGCGAAAATGCTCGAACACGATCCTCAAGCTTAATCGGAAGAAAATATTTTGCGAGGGTCCAAGTGTACCCACTATTAAAGAGTACGTAACTTCGACAGAAAAATTATTTCGGCGATAGAAAATCGAACGAATGACAAACCTCCACTTTGCTAATATCGATGATTCGAGAGTCGGTAGTGCTGAACTTGATTTTCTGATACTCCTTTATCACAGTCGATAGCGCAACGAATGCCTAAAAACGCTGTTAGTGGCCACATAAGTCCATACGAGACGAATTATACTATGCTCAACCATAAGGAATGTAAAACTATGTGTTATATAATATGTACTGACCCTCTCATGGCACCAATCTTGCAGCACATCCAAGTCCCCTCGTATGAATGCTTCGAGCACGTTTGGTATAACTTCCTTCTCACAAAATCGTAGCCATTCTCCTTTGTCAAAAGAAGGGTCGACCTTAGCTATCTCAGTTAGCACCTCAGAAACTTCGTTGTGGCTTCCTAGAACGAAAGTAAAACTGTGATAGTAATCATTTGGGTAGTGCAGCAGATATATCTACATACCAAATAGACTGCCAATTCGCTCTGTGATGCCCCGCATCAATCGAACAGCAACATTGTCACTTTCTTCGTACCTGATCTTCCAATCAAGAAGTTCTGAAAGCAAAGACTGTAGATATGTAGCAGTTTGTCAAGGTGTTCAAAAAAGGGAATCAAAAACAGTACAAAATTGTAAAACACACTATTGAAGTATGCATTCTCTTCTGAGAACTTCTTCCATCCAGCATACCATCGCGATTCTTTATGAAGAGTTACACCGGTGGCTTCCCTGCAACACTATCGTTTTTGTAAGGAAAATCAAGATTCGCAAATCAACAAATCAAACTAGGTTGAGAATCGTGATTACTGGACCAAATGTGAGCTTAGAAAAAACAAGTGAGATACATACTCTCATAACGAAAAAGAAAAATGGGTCCTTGAGAATGTCTCAATGAAAAAAATAAAGCGGAATTTGCACAGGAGATGAAGGAACTAACTCATTTGCTTCAACCGTTCGGTTTTTGAACGTATCCGCAAACCCTTCTGTTCTTTTCTTCAAAACCTCTGAAAAATAACACAATTACCACAAAGTGGAAAATCAGTAGCTTGCATACCTGGCCGGCTGTACATCCGAACATCAGTAATCGTATCAATCTCATCTTTTACGACTTTCATGGACTAAAAGTCTAGATTAGCCAACATTTTAACATGACTTAGATTAACAACTTACACTTGATACTTGTTTGTAAACTTCCGTATCCCCAACCTTCTCAGCAAGCTTCTCTACGTGTTCAGCAGCAAGCCTAGCCTTGAATGTTACATTGAATATAATGCATGATACTACTGAACTAGGCTTACAAACCTGCTTCAGGGCTTCCGCTCCTGCGGCAGTCATCGCTTTACCGGCTTCTGTTTTTTGTACTTCTTTTATCATCTTGAAAAAGAGGATTTCACTAACTTCAGAAAGAGAGAAACTTCAAACCTTGCTTAGCTGATCGCTCAACTCTTCTAACTTAGCTTTGACTACTTCTGAACTCTTCATTGTCTCTTTTTCCACAAGTTCCTGGATAAAAACGTTCCACAGAGGTTTTCATTATTCAATCAAGAAACTTACGAATTTTCTCCGAGCATCTTTCAGAGCTTCACTCTCATTCAATTCCTCCATTCGTTTGCGTAACTGTTTTTGATGTTCCTAAATTCAGACAAAGATTGATGATGAATGATTGTTAGGATATGGAAAACCTGCATGACTGCTTAATTTTTGACGAACCTGTTTACAAAATAGCGCTAAATTATATATTAGCTGTTAGCCAGACCACCGCCACTACGTGACAAACGCTATGCGGAAATGCGTTGAGAACTCCTACCTGTTTATTTCTCAACTGATAAACTACTAGAATGAAGTGAATACACACTGAATAATTACTAAAGCTGACTTGATTGAGTGCTTAATAGAAAGCCTTATGGTGGGTGCCAGAGTAAGCGAATATTTTGTTCAGGTTGGGGTCCCACGCAGAATTGACGTCACTTGGACTGATGCCAGCATGGTGAGAGGCGTTAATTCTGCGTGGGACCCCAACCTGAACAAAATATTCGCTTACTCTGGCACCTATCTATGCTGCGACTTACAGGCTCAATGGTAACTTCATTTGAAATTTCCCCAAGAAATTTCGTTGTAGTTCCGATTGTATAGGCCGTCCGCGCAGGGCGCGGAGAGTGCGCAAGGTGTGTATTGCGCGTCACTCCTCTTTTCTCGTGCACTCTCGCCCCCTGTTTTTCTCTGCGCTTCTTCCAGTCGTGAACTGCATTCAATGTACGCAACAGCGTTGCTCTCCGTGCGCAGCGCGGACGTCCTATACATAACATACTATTATAAATAGTAGACAAGCGTAAAAAGGCAAAGAAACCTGCGTAAACACCAATAAGAAAATAAGAACGCTGATCATAACTACATCAAATACCTGCCGCTAAATTAATATAATGATGCGTACGTTCGAAAAGAAATGACTGAATATAGGTTGGAAACACATAATAACAACAAAAAAGGTAAAGAAAAAGGTGAAAATGGAAACTCACTTGTAATTCTTTATTCTTTTCCAGTTCCTCCTTTACGTTCTCGATAAGTTTCCCAAGAAAACCTTTCCTTTGTGGATTTGCACTGCTCCATCTATTTTGGTCATAATTTATCAAACTAGCGGTAAAAGCGGGATGTCGTAGGGTCGGGTGTCGTAATTGTGGTGTGAGTCGTGTGAGGTAAGCGGTCCGTCCCAAAGCTCGTAACATTCTGAAACGCAGAGGTTCGCATGATGTCGACAGCACGAATGCATCGGCTTTAAGCTTCGGGCAGAGTTCAGGCGATTTCACAGCTTCGCGATTCCTCGACAAGACAACATACGACTCCATTGCAGGTCGATCATCTTGCATTTCGGTTGTGGTAGTTAGTCACGATTAGTCGCGTCGGAAAACTATCACAACCGAAATGCAAGATGACCGACATGCTAGGATTCGTACCTGTTGTCTTGTCGGGGAATCGCGAGGCGATGAAATCGCGTGAACTCTGCCCGAGGCCTTACAGATTGCATTTTGTACAGTGATTTATCGTTAAATGAAATATGCGAGAAATACGAAGAATCTGGTAGGATCTGCGATTTATACACATCTGGATAGCAACTCTGAATTCACGAGATCAATTCAAGAAGTTATGTCATAAATTATGAGGTACAAATCCTGTGAAAATAGACGCACATCCATAGTTGTTCATAAAAATTAAAGTCTTGAAAGTCTGGTCATTAGGGCAGTAGATAAATTCCTGCCTTTCCACTACGGAATCAAAGTCTCATGTCAGATCTCGCCAAAACTTTGCTATTGCTAGCTAATTAGGCATGGTAAACCTGATTACCATAACCGCTCGTTACGGTAGCTGTACCTCTTGTAGTAGTATGTGAAGTAGCAAAAGTATCTACAACATAACCCCATAAAGTTCAAAGTGCATGTGACAACTATGTTGTAGCTGGTTAAAGGCAGTAGATCGGCAGAATGAGACCCGTGGCAAAAGAAGGTCACAGGGTAGGAGCCCCCATATGGAACCTATCGGCCAAAGTCCGCTCATCTCCTGTATTCTCTAGCCCCGCGGGACCAGATATACAGGAGATGAGCGCTGCTTCCGCGTCGAAATTTCGGGGGTTAGAAGTGGCAGAGGAAGATCGGACTTTGGCCGATAGGTTCCATATGGGGGCTCCTACCCTGTGACCTTGTTTTGTCACGGGTCTCATTCTGCCGATCTACTGCCTTTAAGGCAAAGATATCCTGCCCACTTACCGTATGCCTACCGTGACTTCGCCAAACAGTCCTGACCAAGCAAAAAGAGTATCGGTTTTGTAACAAATGCCCCTATATAAGTGGTATCTGAGGTTTTCAAACTTGGAAGGTCGGAAATACTGGAGTTAAATCAGAGTCAGAGGAATTGTCGAAAGACTGGGTTCCAACGGCTTTCCAGAGAAGAAGTGATGCTAAATACTCTTGTTTCGGGCAAAGAATCGTCCAAATATATTCTCTAAATAATCCGGAAAAGAATGAATTTCGGTAAATGCCCAAAACCAATGAAAGGAAAGAAAAGCAATGGCGAGAAATCAATGAAAGGAATGAAAAATAGGGACAAGAAAAAATGATCTGTCAGTGATGCAACGCGACAAGTCATGACGTAGGCAAAAGTGCATATCATCGATCATCTTGGGGACATTCTGTTGAAATCAACGGATGAAGTAAAAGCGTTCAGAAGGCATCTGATCCGATGAACAATTAGCTAACTGGATGATTGAGGAGAGAACTTGATTGCAAAGGGTGATATAGCGGAAGGCCACTGAACGTCACAATTTGTTTATTCTGTTATATAGTAAGTTCAAAATTGAGATTGGTAAGCTAGCGATGATGAACCGAGCATTAAGTTTCTTCATGTGACCGAAGATAAAACGCATGAGCCGAAGTATAAATGGTTTCAACAGAGAATAATCACATAATTCGGTGGACAAAAAATGACTCGTGATTTGAATCTATGAATGCGAAACAATAGCATATGACGTCCAACAACAAAGATGAAGAAGATATTCAGAGAACAGCGCAAAAACAACTTTTAACAACAGTGCAGAAAAATTCTTCACAGTTTTGCGGCTGCACTGGACCAACGCCAATTGCTTGCGCCATTCAAACAGACTAGCGCGAAATTCTCAAAAATTTCGAAAATCATGGTCCTTTTTCACGCCAAGTTCATTTCTAGACTTTTATTCTCAAGTATATGCCTGTCTGTCTTGGCATTTGGTTTTCTTGAGATCTCAATGAAGTCGTCTCGATATGGGTCCGAATATTAAAGTAGAATGACGGATTTGTTATAGCTGCCTATTTTCATGAGAATTTGAATGTGGAACTTGGTACTCTTTGACTTTATCTGAGTAAAGATTGTGTTGTATTGAAGATTCGAAGCACTGCGATTCCCGACATGTCCGGTTGTACCGGAGAAGGGTCATCGCAGCCTGAGCCATCACAATACGAATGGGAACTTTGTCGAGAAAATGTGAAACCACTGAAAACAGGACGTCGCGTTGATGCAATAAACGAGGTTAGCTGGAATATTTAATTGGCAAAAAAACTTTCTACCAATTTGAGCTGACTAACGAAGCGGTGAGAGTTTGTAGAGTGTATCACGTTTCTGGCGTGAAACAGATTCTACGTAAATTCTTCTCCAAGAATGTAAAAAAGAGCTCTACTATCATCATCAATTTTTCAGAGATGAAGAACAATATATTATTTGCCAAGGGTAAACTTGATCTCATTCTGGAAGTTTTCGAGTTCCGTTTGATCAGTGTTTGAGTAGATGCAAATTTTTGTGGAACAAAATCAATAGTTTTTATTTTCGTTTGCCATCTGATTTTCTTCGTTTTTTGTATTAGATCTTGCACCTACTGGTAGCTATAGAATTCTGAGATTCCTAAATTTTGTCGTAATTTTTGTAGTGATTTTCTTACTACCCTATTTTCAGGTGTATAAGCCGCACCCTTTTCACTCTAAAGGCGAACACGCCAAAAGACTGACTGTCATTATGGAGCCCGTTAAGTGAGAGCAGTATGCGATAAGGCGACCGCTTCGCGAGACATATGCGCGGCGGCACGCCTGGGTCCGTTCGCGTTTAGGGCAAAGAGGGTGCGGCTTATACACCTGAAAATATGGTACTATCTTAGATAGTGGTCAGTCCGACTACCCATTCTTTAGAAAAATTAAGGCTGTTTCTAGGCTCTCGCCCACACCACTTACGGATCGAAAGCAGAGACTTTGGCAAACCAAAAATTTGACGAGATAATGCAGAAATGTGAAACTGCCGATGACCCTTTGATGTACTGCCTTGAATTCTGTAAATGGTTCGAACAGAAATTTCCACATGGACGGCAGCGGTTATTCTACTCTCTGCTGTGGAAAATCGTGCACAGGTCGTATTTGTTTCAATCATTTAATTTTAATCTAACCTTTTCCTCACAGATATGCGAAATGTCCCGAATATCTTGATGACGAAAGGATGTTGCGGATTTGGGAGAATCTAGCTGACAACAGTCTTGGTCACGGTTGGGAGATTTACCAGCATGCCCATAGCATAGGATCTCTGCTTAGGTAGGGACGCGTATTTTTTATTTTTCTACTTGAATTACCGAATTTTGTTTGAATCACACATTATTTTGCATGTGTTTGTGGCAGTATATCAGAATCAAATCGAACAAATTGTACAATTCACAAATTGGTACTCATCGTGGGACGGTGGTGAGGTTTGAGGAAAACACCGAGTTTATCACATCAGTCATCTTGTTGCTCAGAACTTTGTTTGGGCCACATACTTTTGATGGGTTTATTATATTTGACTGAGTGCTTGGGTTTGTTTTGTAAGGTTTCGGTAGCTTGAGTTTTTGAGGCTTCGAAGGCGAAGGTGCTCGGATTGCCACCTACAGTACACCCACCATACCTTGAAGGTAGCGTCTCGGCAAAGTTCCGCTATTCAGTCTTTCACGTATACGGAGCCTTCTCGTCATGGGGAACCCATATGTGGGCTTTCTATCTCATGAAAATGGCGAATTTGAGCCTTTTCCGAAGCTGTTCAGGTCCTCATGCTGTAAAAACACGCCGGAAGTCTTCGCCGCCCCGCCTCCCTCGTTTCGGACTCCGCCCACTTGAACTTATTTTTCGCTGAATGCGGACCTAGATAGCTTCGAGAAAACCTCACTTTTGCCATTTTTAAATGTAGGTCCCTAATGGCGAAAAGGCTTCGAAACGGTGAAAAAGTGAAGAATGAAATCTTGGCGGGACAATGCCTTCGAAGCTTTTGTAGTACTGTGTCATTATTGAATCCTTATAAGAAGACCCGCACGGCGGTTCTATCCCATAGGCAGTAGTTAACTTTGAAATTCCTAGTTTGCTACTCCATATGGATCATTTTGTCAATGTGATAACGATTGTACATTGCAGAGTTGAATGCTTTATTGCAGATCTGCACATTTGTACATAAAATGGGCTGAAGATCTTGAGATGCGTGGTGCAATCGCAGATGCCAGAGCAGTGTTTCGTCGTGCCCGAAAGCATGGTGCATTGCCATTGGAAGCCATCGATAGTGCTGAAGATCAGCTGGAAATGCGTGAGATGCGACGGCAGCTTGATGGTAATCAGGATAGTGATGATTCTTGGGAGGAGGACGAGTTTGATGAGAATGGGAAACGTGTCGCCTTCACACGTTTGAGAAGTACGTCATGTTCAAATGTTTAATTATTTTCCGAAAAATCTGCATCTTTACCTAAAGTGGTAAAGTAATTCTTTTCAGCTATGGATGAGTCTTCGGCTGCGCCAGTGGTTCGATTACCGGCGATCGTTGGAGAACAAGGTAGCAGTAAACTAGACAGAGGACAAAAGAAACAGAAGCCAGTAAATAATGGTGTACCAACTTTTCAAGTATGTTTATACCAACTAACTTTGTGACGTAGTTGCAGAAGTCTCATTCAGATACTAGAAGATGACGAGGAGGTCATGGAAAGCTATCTAGAGGGCATTTATGAAGTAAACAATCACATTGAACGTTTTTCATTACAAGATCCTAATGCAGAGAAGTGGAAGGCTAGCAAGGCGAGTTTTTTTGTTGCATAAACGCAGTTTTCTATGGGCATCTTATCTGAGAATATTATAATCTTTTCTAATAAATGTGTCGTACAATTGCCACATGAACTATGTGTTTGTTTTATAGGTCCCTATAAAGAAGCTGAATAATTGTGCAAGCTCTTTCACAGTATACCAAGAAGACGACGAGAAAGAGAACACAGATCCACAAACGAACAAAGTCGTAAAGAAGCCTATATTGATGCTCCGAAAATACTTGATCAGAGATATGTCTATAGAGGTAGAGTCATAGTTGGTTTATCTATAGATGGATTCCCAAAATCGACAGAAGTCGAAAGTTTCTGTGAATTCTGAGTTCTGTTGCTTCGAGTGTTGCAATCTTCTTACTCTTTACAAAGATCTGGATCTCCTGTAAATGTGAGGGTCCCGTCATACTTCCGAAAAAAGCCCAAAGAAGCCCGAAAGAGCCGAAACGCTCCTTCTGTTTTGACGCAAGGCATATGTGTTGATTTGCAACCGAGTCTTTTTGCTTCATTTTCTGTCTTCTGCACATCAAAATAATGTCGGAATTCTACCAAAAGTTCGTTTCTACGTTCCGGCTCTTTCATGCTTCTTCCGGCTTTTTTGGGCCTTTTCCGACTTTTTTGGGCTTTTTTGGGCGCTTTTGCGCCTTTGTCGGCGGAGTATGACGGGTTCCTGAGAGTTGCAGATGCGCTGACGTAGGGTTTCATTGATATCAAGGCAGTAGTGAAGAGTCTCATTTGGGGGAGCGGAAGCGCGCGACAGAATTTTTTTTTTCGAATAAGGGCATTAGCCAAGCTTTCCGAAATCTTTTGGATGCCTTTCAAATTTTCTTGCAGGCCTGTAAATCCGATTTGAAAGGGAGGCGTCACGAAAAATATTTTTCAAGGTTCATTGAATTTTTCACAAAATTTTAAGGCGGCTGTTTACAAGTGAGAACAGGCTTCTTGCGCAATTTTAGGGAACTCACATACGCTATTTTCGAAAGTTGACGACCCACTTTCGGGCTGGAGGGGGTGTTGGTTTGCAAAGTTCAACTTTAAAGCGTCTTCAAATCGATTGTGGTGGAACAAAATTGCGAAGTTTACTATTGTTCTGTGACCTGTTTGACGCAAGATCATAAGTGGAAAGGTTAAGCGTCTTAGTAGAGAAATGTGGTCATTTTTTATGAAACTTCCTAGCATAACGTTTTTGTGCTCATTTCCAGGAACACCTTGCTGCAATGTATGACAAAGACGAGATTAAGCAGGACGTCAAAAAAGTGGTGCGGAAGATCAACTTTGATGACGATGATGACGAATAAAATTGTTGAGAAGCTAAGGACTTCTTGTGACCGGCATTGTCCATATCGTAACGTTTTATAGATTTTGCATCGGAAAATCTATCATTGAGATGCTTCGGCATCTAACCCTAAATTGGACTAATCCTTGCACATACTGACCTTTCTATCATTTCCAACATCAAGCTGATATCTGTAATGTAATGATTTTTTCCCCATATTGCGTCTGACCACAAGATGAGTGCTGTTTACCCTCATTTAGCCAATATAATTTTACTCAATCTCCTTTCTATATAAATGAACACAAGGTCTTGAACTTCTGAGGAGGCACATTGTAATCCGTGATCGCTATTCCTTTATAGTCACAGTCTCATGCTCTTTTCTATTAATCTACCATGATTACGCATTTGTAGTCATAGATGTATTTGTTCCTAACTTATGAGCGGAAGTGCATAATTCGCTAATTCTCAGAAAAGCGTTTTTCCTTCTTTCAATATTCAAAAACAGTGCAGAATTCAATCTTAGCAACTTTTAACAACAACATTAATTCATTTGTCATGCGAGGAAAGCGAGTCGAGTGTAGGAGATCAGAAAAAAATTTACACAAAAGGTTGGCTGTGTTAGGAAATTGGTCATCACGAATAGCACAGACAAATGAAACTGAGAAGGAAGCTAAACTATGAGAAAAATGGAATTGAAAGGTTTAAATTCTTTTCGATAGAGTTTTCACGCTCCATCCATACATATGCAATTTAAATCGACTTTTTCATTTACAGAACACTGCGGCCCAAAACTGAATTTTAGCATAGAAATCTGTGCCCTAATATTGCGCTTTTTCGAATAATGTGCCTCTCTTATACGAAATAATGTAGAATCTTTGTACATTCAGATATCCATCAGAAAAAGTTTGGAAAGCTCTTTTGATTGATGTGTCATATGTCTAGGGCCTTTGGGGTACAGCAGCACAACTTCGGATGGCGTTCAAAAAAATCTGTCAAATTACTTCGAAGCGCTACTGAAGGATTTGAGTGATTTGCTGCAAGGTGTTGTCAGGATAACTTGCGAAGGCCACTTTATACTTTTTTTTCGTTCAAATTGCTGGTCGTTCATAGTTAATCAGAAAAAGACACTGAAAAATGTTTGAAAAATTAAGTTGCCCTGATATTTTGGATCACCCTAATAAAACCTACAGACAGCCAGGACTTGTCGGGGGTGTAGGCCCTTCTGAACCTGCCCCAATCGCGACGGCTATAAGAGGTCAGCGCTAATTAGAGGTCACTCCATGATTGGCTAGCTCGCGGGAGCGAGCGGCTGACTTGGGCAGACGCGCTGCGGAGGCGGACGAGTTTCACATCGCTGGTAACCTACTCCACAATGAGATCCTGGAGGTAATTCTCTAGAAAATTCCTAAACTCCCCAAATTCCCTGGAATTCAATAACTTAGTTATTCGCTTTACTCCACACTACTTAAATCGCCGGCCACTTTCTAAGGTGGTATGTTTTTGGTCTATGAGACATTTTCAATGTCTTTTTCGACTTATTTTACTGTTTTTTTAGTTCGATTGCATGCTCTACTCCCCTACGTCTGCCTCCTTGCAGCATCATCTAGTCACATTTCAATTGAAATGTGCACTACATGCATGCCAGTAGGGAAGCATACGTTTTTTTTATGATGAGTATGAAGTTTTTTTTACGCCGTCCATATCAAATCGCAATCAAATAAAATGCATCACCTTCATTTGGTAGCGTGATCTACATGGATTGATTTTGGTAGCGACCTTCTCTTTGCTGCACGCATCATGCTTTTTGTATCGTAAAAATTTCAGATGCACGTTCGTCAACTTTACTGGAATGAGAATTTTGAAGAGATGATAATTTCTTTGCAATACAGAGCTGCACTGAAATGTCAGAAGGAAATACGCATCTGATAACGAATAAGCGTAGATCACCAATTTAAGTTATAATTGGCCTTTATAAAGAGTTGTTACACAAACATTGATTACGTGGGCTTTCCTCAATAACATCAAGCAGCTCACATTAGCAGTATGATGTGACGATGCACGACGTCATAAGGATCGCACACACAAGGGATTTAAGTGGAAAAAAATCAAGAAAAAACAAAGTCCCGAAAGAATTCAAAGGAGATTCATGAGAAGTTTTTTATGAATCATGTAAATGAAAAGACTTCGAAAATGTCTCATAATTCATAAACATACCTGCTGGGAAGTAGGGCTCAGAATACCAGACATTCAGAGGATGGTAGCTGTGTTTGGTTGAAGGTCAGCATGATTGGCTTGCATTCCACAATGCAAGAGCCGCACGGAAAGCGGTGGTGATTTTCGAAAATGCGAGCCTTTCGCGGAGCACTCGTCCGCGGTCATCGCAGCGCATGCGCGCGCGTCCTAGTTCTAGATTACTGTAGGGGACGGTGGGTTCAGAAGGGCCGTCTCCCACTTGTCGGTGACACAGAGGGATAAGGTGGAGGGGGGGGGGGGGAGGGATTGGCTACCGAATGTTGTACCTACCTCATCTTATAATGACCGGGCGACCTACTTCATATAAATTCTATAGAGGGAGTATGGCGCGAGTTCATTAGTGAACTGCTTTATGATAGAGTTTATTATTTCATTTGCGGAGACCAAAGCTTAGGTTCAGATGATCATGATCGATCTGAAGAAGATGTTAATCTGGTAATACTTCATAAGTTCTCCTTAATCCTTCATTCTTAATCTGGTAATATTTTTTTGGTTGTTGTGTTAGATATACCAAAAAATAATGATAATAATAGATAATAATATTTATTATTATAATATCAAAACTTGATAACTCACTCTCGTTCCTATCCTTCGAGGAGAATTGTGTTGTTTCTATGCCATCCCCGGAACTCTTCAGTAAGGAAGGATGGGGATAGTTAAAATAACTCACGTTTCTGTTTGAAATTGATACTAGGACTTAATTTACAACTCAAACATTTTGTTTGATATTTGATTTTTGACATTTTTTTGTTTCAACTAGGTTAATCCCAAATGTCTAGTAAAAAATTTTCTTATAGCTTATCTGGGTCCGTTTCATCGTCAAATTACATTTCTCTTAAACCCTAGTTTGTCTTCCCATTGTGGTTTCCAAGTTGAACTTCTTTCTTTCTGGATCCACTTATCTTGATGCAGGAGAGCTCCATCGCAATTTTGGTTTATAAATAAATCTCCCCAACCATGTACTTGTTATTGAATGAATCATTCATAATCATTATCGAAGGGGTTCTTAATTTATCTCGACTTTTTGCAATGAGTGGTGGAGGAAGGTGAATGTGGTTTGACCTCTCAATCCTGGTCACGATGGAATGCACATGAGAGATGCATATGCATACGGCCCCTGGATTAACCGACATCCTTGGAGATCGAGGCACCAAAGGACCCGAAGGGGTCCTGAGCGTGGAGAGGTCCATTTTCTTCACATGCCTGTGCATATACTCTCCGTGTCCGGCACTTGTGCTTGGATGGGGACCTTGCAGTTTGGTTAATTCGCGAAGCGAAATGAAATGTTGAATGTCATGTAGTTATAAAATGCCATTCTGATTTTTCAACGCATTTCATCGCAAAACAACATCAAATTACTTTGATTTGCATCAAATGTTTCTATACGTGTTGCGACAACAGTGTGTTAAGAACAATATATTATCGAATGTTATCGGCTAGTTTGATATCTCGATATGAAAACGAAGGAATTTCAAATTAACGTTTTTTAGGGGCGTTTGTTGTTTTCTGCGACTTTCGCTTAGATGATGGTTCTTTCTGCGACTTTCGCTTAGATGATGTTTCATCCCTTTTGTCTCCAGCCTAGAATAAATTTGATTTAATTTATTTAGAAGGATTGATTCGTGTAACTTACATATCGCGGCATTCGTGAACTCATTGCAATTCCAACCAGAGCAAGTACAATCAGCAAAGCTGCTAAGATATAGGTGAAGAGGAAACTTGCGGAAAGCACTGCAACATCAAGGTTAAGAGTATATAAAACTACAAGATTACGATCCCTTCATATGCGCACGTTTCTCACAATCATGTACCGTTTGTCCTCTAGCGAGGTATAGGCTGCTCCATGACGAAAGCGCCATATCTTTAAGCGCGAACGCGGCTCTATTAGCCGCAGAGTGCATAAGGCGCAGGATTTACAACGGTTGAGGACACGCGCGCGTCGCGTTTGCTCCCGCTCATCTAATACTGCTTCTGCGCTTTCGTCATGCAGTAGCCTTGACATAGAGGTCCCCACCTCTCGCGTATCCCATTGACTTCGTTTCACTCCTTCAACACAATTCGAATAGCTGACGTACATTTTCAGATGAATGTGTTGAAAGAAGCGAAAGGCAGCTAGCGAGTATACGAGCGGTGATATCGATGGACACCTCGCTGAGGGAAGACGGTGATTTTGAGCACTGCCAAATGGAAATGCAAAGTCTTAACTCGCAAATGTGCGCAGAAGCATTCCAGGTACACTACTAGGCAACTACTACAGTGAAAATCATTCCAACTTCCATTCTCACTTCCCACCCGCATACAGCTACTGATGAAATTTTGGTTTAGCAACAGTGAATTGAGCTAACCTTTGATTCAATAAATTACCGGCTGGAAGATGGGGCTTTGTGGTCTAGTTGAGGCCGCTCGCGCCCGCGACGCAGTCTGCGTCTCTCCTTCGCGCGCGGTCTCTGATCATTTTCTAGCCTTCACTACGTCACGAAGCCCCGCCTTCCAGCTGCCAATCCAGTTGAATCAAAGAGTACCATTTCTATTCGTGCCAATTTACTTGTTTTGCCTGCGCTTGCACAGTCGCAGTACTCCGATATGATCTTCGATCGCGGCGCCTTTTTTGATATAGTACCGAAATCTCAGGCTACACTACTTGAGCAGCCTTCAAAAAACTTTTTGTTGTCGTCGTTGACAGAACTCAGGGATAATCGAGCTTCATCGTCCGAATATTTATAAATTTCTCCTTTTCTCGCAACAATGAGTAATAATTGACACTTACTAGTATAGCAAATTTCATCAGTACTGATAAATAGCTTGGTATCATCTAGAAATGTGGCGTTCATTGCATAGAAAAAGCACCCTAATGTGAATGTATATGATGGAGAAAGCTGAAAATTGGAACTGTTTTGAAGTATACAATAACGATTTTCTACTTACCCCCAATCTAATCCTTCCGTTAACTCCTTTCTCTTTGGTTTTCTCAGCCGCGTATTCTGATTCCGATCTGCGCTAAAACGTCTATGCATGGTCTAAATTTCTGAGGCTTATAATGAAATGAACTTGCTTTTCTGTAAACAATAAGCTCTACATTCTTCACATAGTGTACGTGGAATTTACTACCATTCGAAAATGAAAAGCCCCATATAAGTTCTACATTTAGGCCTTCATCGACTTTCAGCTCCGCATTGATACCACTGCTCTAAAAATCTATTTGAGATTCTGGCTTTTGTGCTTACGGAGAATCATTATTTCTTCCTTGTTGTACAGTATTATATATTTTTTTAAAATGGTTCTGAGATTTCTTGTATGCAGAAAAAGCGGTTCCATCCGTAGTTGCACAGATGCCAGAATGCTGGCATTGTGCCTGCACAAGCCGCGCAATATACTTCGCGTTGTTGAATTTGAATAAGCTTGTCTCTGTCACTTAAAACAAAACAACACGCTTTCGCTAATGATTCGTAAAAAAATTTTTTTAAGACTCTTTTGACATTTCTACCTAGGTATTTTGAATGCAAAATCTATCTCGACGTTCCCCGCTTATTCCGCACTCAAAGCTATTGGAGGTGCTCTGGATAGTTTAGGACTAATTCTATTGACTTCTTTCAGGCTTAAGACGCAAGAATCACTATTGGTGCATACCTGTAAAGATATTTCTTTTGGTGTCGTTCTTTTTGTTTTTGTCGGAGTGATTATCTTGATCCATGGGCTTAGTGGTCCGCGTCCTTGTGGAAACGTGCATGTCCCAGTCATGTAGTATAATTCTAAAACCATTAAAAGCATTCACTTTTCTCGCCACACTTTAATTTTCTTGAAAACTGGGAGAGGAAAGGATACTTGTTCAAACTGGTGTTTTTATATAAAATGCATACGGTCCTACAGAGCATCGAACTGAATCCAAATCCGCTGTCAGTATCTGAAGAGCACTTCTGGAAGCGGAGTTGCAGGAATTTTGAGGCCAAAATGCGAGGATTTGGCAAAGGCTAAAAATGGTGTTGACGCCTTTCCAGTGCTTGAGCAATGACTGGCGTAAGTATATTACACTGAAGATATAACTGCTTAAAGCACCCTGGCCTTAATGAACACATTTGAGCTCACAGGTTACAGTTCTAAATGATTTTAATGTAGCCGCGCGTTCAAAATTTTGCTCAAAAAATTCTCATAACTCTCCTCCCACAAGCGCTTTGCAGGTAAAGCATATCCGGCAGCGTTCCATGCTTTATAAAATACCATACATTTCACATGGAAACTTCCCTCTGACAAAGTATCTTTCCTTCGTATGTTTCAAAATGTAGGTCAACCGAAAGTCGATAAGTTGCAAATGCAAACCTGCCGGCTTGATTTTCTTGAAAACAGCGGTAGTTACGTCAGCCTCTGTCTTTTTTCTATGGCAATCTTCTGCAGTGCTTAACCGTTTGCAAATGAAAATCTGGAAATTTCGGCAAAAAATGCATTATCGCGATCGTTTGACACTACAACTTTGCTTCCCAGTCTAAGTCTAATTTAACGATCTTACGAAAGCAATCTTACGGCCAAGACTGACCTCGCAACCACTGTTTGCAGGTGCAATAAAGTGAACATGAAGGTTCGGCAGATCAAAATCAAAGCTGATGTTACTGATCATTCCTGAAAATAATTTTGTACGACTGCATAAACTGTGCCGTTATTAACGGATTAGAAAGAACACTTCTGCACCTCTCGTGATTCTGCTTTCAAGGCTCTTATGTAAGACAAGCAAAAACTAGCCATATCATAGCCGAGAATCAGTTACTAAGCAGTGTGAGCTCAATCATGATCGAGGAGAACATTTTTTGTTAGTCTCAGTTATCGTTTTGTCCTTGTTGAAGCATATGATATGAAGAACAAACAATGTCGTGGTGATGAATCAATAAAATAACCAAAAAGAAGAATAGAAAAGTTGTTTAATATAGTCAGACCAATCAATGGTCCTGCTCTATTTTAGCTTCTGCATTCACATGCTTACCTGGAAATTATAAGACTAGCTGGCATATCCGGACACGCTCGGGTTTCTTCTTACGATTAGAAGATTTATTACTGTCTGATTTTCGCTTTGAATTCTTTGACCTCTACGACCTATGCATTGGACGCTCATCTACGGAACTCATCTAAGGTCTGAGATGAGTTTGGCAGTTGTTTCTTAAAAAGCAACTCAAATTTGTTTATCTTGTATATAAAGAAACGCAAGCGCAATACTGTGCAAATAGCGGGAAACCGCGTGGCGATCCCGAAGCGCTCTTTCAATTAGCACTTTTAGATTACTGGTTCACTAGTTGTTAAAAAAAACATGGGAATACATAGAGATAAAACGGGATTGTTATGCGAAATTATAGCACATTTACTTATAGTCAATTCGCTGACTGCACGGAGTGGACATCACTGCAGAGCACGCGCCGTGAGGTAAAACGCTTGCTCTAATAGAACTCAGCCGCGCCGCGCGTGTTCCGCAGCGTTTTAGCAGTTCGTGCAGTCAACGAATCGACGATTCAGTATCTTTGCTACTTTGAGTTTTGGGATTTTCGAAAAGTATTCTGCAGTTACCGGTTCTCACCAAGCCGCTGATCTATACATATATAAAGTTGAGTGTTGGTAAATTGTTATTAATGTGTTCTTTATAAAAAATTTTGTTTGTGGACCGATCGGCGTCAAACTTCGCACACATATGCGTGCGACCGGTCCACCAGTAAACTACTTTTCGCTGCGAAAATCCCTTCTATTGATTCATCGATTTTGAAGAAAAATGAAGTCATATCATGTATTACCAAACCAGTCCCAACTTTCGTTGAACAACAGCGGTAGACCTCATTTTCATTCCACGATGAGGGAGATTCGGTAATTAACGGCGATGCGCCCAGCAAGTATCTGCCCTGCTTACAAGAGAAAGAGAAGGAAGTCAAAGTGCAGATAAGTTGGACCTTTAAGGCTGCGTACCAGTTTCGCTCTTTGTTGAGCCAGTTAAACTCACGCTGCAGGCGGAGCTGGGCATTTCAGCTAGTGCTTTATAAAATGATCAGATTTGACTCCCATTTTTCCGTCAATCAGAAAATTGGTTGTATTTCTTACATCGAGATGTATTGAAGAAAGAAAAACTACATGGCTATTTTCAAAGGAAAAAACCCATGTGATGATCGACTCATCATGCAGCCTAGAAGTACCTTCGATACGCTGATGACAACGGCGACAAAGCTGAACTCATACATAATGCTACCGCTAATACCGCTAAGCCGATCTTGTCTGGTTCGCAACCCTTTCCAGGACCATACAGAGACGATCGGCACAGGTGAGCCAAGCCACTGATCAAATATTAATCCTTTGATGCTCAAAGTTTACAAGGTCTTGTCCGGTGTTAGGAATACACATCGTTCGTCCTTGCCCAGCCTAAGGGGATTGTTTTCATCCAGAACAAATTATTCTTCTTAACACGTTGACGACGAGCCATTTTTTGAAGGTCTGTCCCTGCGGACGAACCGTCTCCGGGCATTTTCACAGCCGGCTGCACATATATGTGCATGCATCTATGCGTGAGATACACAAATGCAAGTGGGCGGCTTAATTAATTCACTCTCAGACAATGGATCGGACCCCTCCGCTGGGGAAATGGCAGGGTCGCGGCGTTTCCCCAGCGGTGGGTCACCCATTCGTCCGGCGGAGCCCTCCCATTTCTCCGGCGGAGACCTCCCATTTCTGCTCCGGATACCTCCCATTTTCTGCTCCGGATACCCCCCATTTTCTGCTCCGGATACCTCCCATTTTCTGCTCCGGAGCCCCCCGATTTTGTGCGCCGGAGCCCCCCGATCGCGGCATACTGTAATTAGCCCTAATTAAAGGCAGCTTCCAGGCAGATCTGGACCTATGGGGCTTTTACATGGAAAGTATTTTTGGGGCCCTAACTAAGGCACTGCCGAAGCAGCAGCTCAGGTAGTGCTCCAATGGCTGAGATATTCCCCTCGAAACAGACCCCCGCGAACGTACTCGCATGGATTCATGGCAGTTTCGCGCCAGGATCCACTCTTTGCGCCATGAATCCATGCGAAACACGGTCGCGGGGTCCGGTTTCGAGCAGAATATCTCAGGCGTTAGAGCACTACTTGAGCTGCCGGTTGGGTAGTGGCTTAGTTAGGGCCCCAAAATACTTTCCATGTAAAATCCCCATAGGTCCAGACTTGCCTGGACGCTGCCTTTAAGCTCCAAACCCCAATTTTGTCTCCAAACCCCACCCAAATAAGCCGAATAGGACCCCCCCCCCCCCGGGTAGGAGTTTAGCGCGACCCTCACCCCGTACTCTACCCCCTCCCTCTCACCCCTAGCGTTTGTAGATAGAAGATAGAAGAAAGAACGAAGAGATAAGACATTTATTTCAAATTTATCAAACTTTCGAAAAATCTATCTATCTGTCTCCAGCATACGTACAACAGTTAATTCATATTACAAAAACCATACTAGGAGTGATAAGAATATTCAAAGAAAAACTAATTTCCTAGTTGCAAAAAGAACCTTGTAACACCACAGTATAAGCATATGGTTTTAACATGGTAAGAAAATGACAAAAAGATCAAAAAAGCATTCTGTGCAACATGAAACAAAACAGCGAGGAACGCCATAAACTCACATTTGCAAAGCAGGGACATATTGTCCAAGTGCGATATATACATGAGCTATATTCATCCAAACATCTTCGAATTCCGAGGTCCAAGGCCATACTGGGGCAAAACGAAAGTAGGATGATTCAACGTAGTTGCTTGATAATAGTACTAGGACACGATGATGACATGGATTGAAATTCTTGCATATGCAACTTACCTTGAACGCCTTTTCATAGTCTCTGTTGAAATGGAAAAACCGCGCAAGAATGTAACAAGCTTCGGCCTTGATTTCGTCACTTTCCGTCATACTCATTGCATGCCACGCTAACCGTTCAACCTTGTTCATTTCCTGAAAAAGTGATGCCTTCAGATAAAGCGATAAACACCTCGATGTAACAGCTTGGACAAATTTAAAAGGTCCCTTTTATAGATAATTCGTAATTAATTCAAAGAATTTCTGCACTGACTCCTTTGAAGAAGAAGTGGTTGGCAAGATGGACCAAGACAACCGGATTCTCCGGCTCCAGACTATACGCTTGGCCTAGACAAGCCACTGCACTTTGGGCTCCCTCGACAGTATGCGTATTGTAATCCAAAATGGCAAGTGCTGAGAGAGCACAAACATTGTCATTTTGCAATTCCAACGCTTGTTCAAAAGCGATTCTGCAAATTGTAATTGAAAGTCACATAAACAGTAAAGAAGAAGCTATGTGACTCAAACATTTCACATTTACATGCTTACCTAGCCTTATCAGTCCCTAATCTCGCTAAGCAATACTGGAAGCAATGTGATGTGACTAAGCAACAGTAACAGTCACAATGCTTCAGTAACAGTCACAAAACTTCAACATCGTTTGGAGTTGCCTCCAAGACTTTTGTCAACATATCTCTTGCCTTGTCCTATCTTTCAAGCCAGAAACGATATAGTGAGGATCTGCAACGTCTGATGAAAAGTCGATCGACTTGGTAAGCATACGTACGAGAGAGATAGTGTGGACCCCGGCCAGCTTCAGGTACTAGCGCGGCGCACACGCAACGCGCGCCCGACTTGAACGCTTCTCATTTCACTTACGAACAAAAAAGCATTATAACCGAAAACAGGAGTGAAATGAGATGTGGAGGCCTCTAATCCGAACACGAGAAAAGCCAAGGCAATAGGAGAACCTTCACAACTTCTACTACTAGCGCTCAGATTCCAGTCAATCTCATAAATAACTGGAATCTTCTATTATCCATCGCTAGTAGTGTATAACACTACCAGCGATGGATGATAGAAGTAACAGGAAAAATCGAAGAACAATTCTGAAAAGTCTTCCTTCTGTTCATAAAAAAACCCAGAAAGTTTGAGCTCAAGAGCACGATTGCAAAGCTCTGATGGTGTAACAAAAGGCTAGAAGCATCTACACTCCACAAAATCAACTGCATATACACTTATTCTGAACATTTGGAGAGATGTCTCTGAACTACACCGAAATCTTCACTATTGAGAAAAAAACAAGATTTTCGAAACAAATGCTTGCAAGACTGTCAAGACTCGTAAAAATCCATCACCAGCAGTTGACATGTGTCGTTTACATCTAAAGTAGAGATTACAGAAGAGAACAAACACACTTGAAAGAGGAAATTGAAAGAAATCCCTTCAGAGCCGAAACGAAAAGCGCACTGAAGGCATGCGCTGCGGACGCGCCGCGGAGGTACCTATGGGAACCTGGCCGGGGTCCACACTATAGCAATAAACGGATTATTTAGACGATACTTTCATCACAACAACACTAGATAGTTGCGCAACTAACCTCATTGTTTCGAAAATCCAGAATTAATCACAAAAACCACTCCATCAATAGTCTACGATGTCTCAGCAAGTCGGAAAGAGCCAAACACTGAAGGTGATTGAGTGCAACCGCACGAAAATTTTAAACATAAACCTGAAAACGAGGAACTTACAGCAACATAAACGCCAACGCGACGAAGAGCAACGCGGAAAAGGAAAAAACGGTAAAGAAACGCGCAAAAACAACAGAATCA